TTTTAAGTTTGCAATTAGATTTGCAACGGCCACCCATTAAGCTGAGTAGACAGCTGAGGGAGCTTTCATTGCCTGTAAAAGGTTCTCAACATTATCCACTACACACTGCACCTTTCGATGAAGTAAGTTTTTTACTAATTCATTAATGTAACATTCTTCTGCTCATAATAATGTCTGTGCTTTACGAACTTCTTTCCAAATAATTCGGGGATGTTGCCCTTAACTTCATCCAAAAGTTGTTCAAGTCTAATTAAGGTAGATATTTACTTTTGCAAGGTGCTTGGTACCTGGTTGCTAAATACTATAATAATTGACAAAAACCTCGTCATAATTGAACAAAGAATAATAATTCCACCTAGCTGTGTCTATCTTACTTGTCTATTGTACAACATAAAACATTGATTTAAAAGTGCCTTTATTTGTTCTGCTTGCCTGTTAAGTACAGTTTCAAATCTTGTAAGTCTTGAATGATTGAAAATAATTAAGTATCAGAAGCTATTTTTGACGCATCATTATATAGATAACCCGCTTTTGTGAGCTGTTCAGTGCCTGTACATAAGTACGTCTCTGTTATAAATTATGTACTAAAGTTTTATCAATTGTGGGACATTTCTTAATCTCTATTCATCTTAGGTGAGTGCTGTTTGTATCTTGAGGAGTCTCAAGGACGATTCTCGTTGCCAGTGGATATTTTCTATTTTACATATTTATTCATAAATTATTTATACATATTTTCTCATAAATTTCATATCCTTTGTAACTTGCTGTATGGAAACCTTCACAGAGAACGCATTTTGGAGGCAATGTCTTGTTTTACTATCTCGCACTTACTTCGTAAGAAGACAAAGTTATGAAATCGTGCGCTGGGAAAAGGCAAATTTTCGACAGAAAAATCTTAATCTCGAGTCCTGGTAACGAAAAATGGATTATTTTACTACAAATAATCAATTACTTCATCTAACACGTTGTGTAGACATAATCCATGTTTTTGGGCCCTTGATAACCAGAAATCGATTGTCGGCAAAACGTCTGTCCGTCGATCTATCCGTTTGTGGCCAACGCTAGCGACTAAACAGTTTCTTCAAAATTTATATTCCTCGATCGATTTTAACGAATTCTAGGCTTTAGGTGTTTCAAACAGATAGTGTGATTTTTGAGAGTACTTTACAAGAAGCCTCAAAAACATTTCAAAAATTTTCTCTAAAATGGCACCAACGTTTTTATTAATATTTGCCTTCGGATAGAGTAAAGAACGCTGAAGAGAATGATGCAAGTTTCATGTTCATTGATATCAGGGTTTTTGAAAATTTCAAATGTGCAATTTTTTGGGCGTCTTTCTACAATTGATGATACACTTTTTTCTTTGATGAAATCTGTCCCATAAAGGCAGATCATAATATAAGACTGATTCTTCGAAATCATTATTTGTTTTCGTGTAATTTTATGCGAAATAGAGGCAACTTTAATATTTTAAACATTTTCTTCTCAAAATCGCTTCAAATTGTTTCTTCGAATTTTTTTCTCATATGTATCAAGAGGCTGTAAAAATATGGTTCGAGTCCCATTTTTGGCGAACTCTGGTTTTTCAAAACGTTAACATTAAAACTACAAAATTGAAGATAGAGATTTTTGACTTAGACAATTTATGTTGTAAAAAAGTAGTTCTTAGTTCATGTACATTTTTTAAAAAAAACTAGTAGATTTTGCGTAATTTGTATCAGATATTTATGAACTCTCTCAAAACTTTTTCCACCGATAAAAGAAGTGCTGCGCAAAATAATGGTGCGAGTCTCATTTTCAATAAACTCTCTGAATGTTCGAAAATTACAAATCTAGGAATAATGAAAGTGTGTGCTGTTGTAGCACCACTAGTTTCTTATAGAAATTCTGCTATCATGATTATCACCGCATACTACTCATCGATAAGGGCAGCGGTGGTTGGATAAGTTATCTCTTTACTCTCGGAGCTTCTGTTATTATTTTCATATTTTGAAGCTACTGTAAATATATTGAAATTTGTAGATGACTTTATTATTTGTTTGGTTCCAGATTAATAGAGAAAAAGCAGGACGATGGTTTTTACTCGATGTGGATTGATTATGGATGCCTTTTTATGACATTACCTTCAATTTTTCTTTCAGTTCTTCAATATTTATTGCAGGATGCATATTTTTTAAGACTACACAAAATGCCACCTTGTCTGTCATCTGAAGCTATGAAATACACTTTTCTCTTTAATAAGATATTTTGTAAGTGATCGATAAACTTGTGCTGATGCCGGTAGGAATATAAATGTACCAGCTTGTAGTAGTATTCGTCCTTCTTCACGGCTATCGGTTAAGTTTCTGACTTAGCTTTAAAGGTATATACCCTGACAGAAATATTAGTGGTGGCTTTTGCATTTTGGAATGTTAGATTTGTTTCTGTCTTCTGCCATTAGATGCATTGTCATTAACCATTTCGAGATTTGAAAATCTACTATGCATCGGTATATTACTTAGGTTTGAATTTTTTGTTTTGTTTTGCATCTCTTGCGCTTGTTTACATTTTGCATATATTTTATGAATTTATTTCCGGCACGCACCTCCCTCCCTCGTAGAAGGAATCCCTAAGCAACTGTTTATTTTGCTTGGAGGTAATAGTGATGCAACATAGACAACAAAATTAAAATGTTCAAAATTAAAATATCGATTTTTAAACAAGATCCATGGATATTTTTAAACACCGATGTCTTAAAGCTGGTTTAGTAACCTCGCGCGCAACAAAATGTAATTTAACAATAGGCATGTATATTAATTTATAATTAAAGTTAACTGAAAAAGAAAGTTGGAAAGGTCTCTGCATCTGCGAAATATGAGGAAAGACGAACGAAACCAGGATATCAGGATCATCTCGGGCGAGGGATATTCTGCTCGATGAAGGTATTGCAAACGTTTGTGTGGTTCGAACACATAAAAGATGTCTTTTAACTTTTAAAAAATTGTGATAACAGGAATTTCCATCTACGAATAAAACATCGAAAATGAAAAACTATTGAGCAAAAAATATCGATGTTAAAAAATATCGATTTCATACCACTACGAATAAAACATCGTTGTTTTGAAAAAATGGCACCGATGTCGCAACCCTAGTTTAAGACTGTAAAATGAGTAGATGATTGAGATAAGAATGTGGTTAGTGTTGATGGATAAATGGTGGAATGAGAGGCAGGGAAATCCTTAAGGATAGGTATTCGAATTGAAATGCTATTTCAATGATCGTGTGTGCTTTTCTGTTCATTCAAAATTCTCTTAATATATTCCTTTGATTTATGTTAACCAACTAAGAACCTACGTATTATAGACACCTGTCAAATTTCTTAACAGTAGGATACAATCTACATATTAATATTGAAGTAGTATAGTATAAAACGGGTTTATTATGTGTTTATTACCCTTTATTGCATGAGTACATGTTTTAAAACTGAGTGGCGTTAGGAGTGAGTTTTCACATTTGTACGAATGTAGTGAGTAAAGCAACAGTATAAACGGGTTGCTTACAGTTTTTGAATATTATATTAAATACGTTTGGCCACAGACCGTTTTGTACAGACACTAGTTATTAAAAGTGTTACGAAATAAAAACACAGAATCACATATTATATAAACTTAAAAGTTTATATTTATCATTATTCAAAATTTTGTACAGCAACATTTCGATGACATTAATTTTTCCTCATCTTTAGGCTACAATGAATATAAGAAAAATAACTTTTAAACCATAAATAACACGTTACTGACTTTTAAATATATAATACAATTATAATGAAACACTAAGAATCGATATAAAATAACATTTTGAATTCATTAATTCAATTTAAAGTCAGTAAATTATTATATTTTATGGTTTAATTTTTTTCTTATATTTATTGCATTATAAGAATTATATATGTTTAGAAAATAAAAGTTAATTTTTGGTTACAACTTTGTGACGTCTCGGGGATTTGACATCTGTGCGAAAAAAAGGTGGCTAGTTGTCGGGTTTACTGCTAGCTCAACAAGATTCTCTCGGTGCAATTAGTGTGACATCGCTTTTATACGTCATAATCTGCGCCGACAAATACGTCGTAATCTGTGTCGTAAGGTGTCATTTTATGAACTCTTTCTTGGAATGTACAAGCTTGTTTATAATGCAGGAATACAAAAAAGGTATTTCTCACTTCCCTATCATCTGGCCGAACGGTTTATTTTAAACATAATATACGAGAAATAATTACGTAAAATACATATGACAAAATAAATTTAACGGAAGGGAGGTAGGTCCATGGAAAGGAAAGAAGTGTTTAGAATATCAAAGAAGTAAAAGGCTTGGAGCAGCAACAAGATAAGCCGCGCCGACCACAGCAAGTCTCCCACTATTCTTAAATGTTAATACCACTATTTTGATGAAAGTGTGGATTATCTTGTTGCTATAAATGTGTTATTCACATCTACAATATTCTTAGGAGTCTAGTAAGATTAGATACACTACGACCAAAATAGCGATATTAACATTAATTTACTATTAGCGGAAGGCTTGCTATGGTTGATGTGTCGATGTTTCGTTACTGCCCTCATCCCTTCAATAGTATTCCTATGTTCTATGAATTTCAGCATGAGGACGAGTGAAACTCTAACCGCAAGACGATTTTCATGTTAGAGGCAAGCGGACTTGTGTCAGGTACCGGTGACTCGCCGATACACCGACATGCAAAAAACAGGCCGCACGATACCAGGAAACAGGAGATAATCATTCCACCTTCGAGCACAAGAACCGCAGGCTGCGACTCCAGACTTCGCGTGTTGACAATCCGACTGCAAATGCATCCCGCCGAGCAGAAGCGTTCCACGGTTGCGGCGGTGGCGTGACCCCGAAGGGGTGCCGTGGAGGTGGAGAACGTGGCGCGGTGCCGGGGAGGGGAGGGGGCGCGGAGAGGGAGGGGGAGAGGGGCGGGAGTCCTTCGCGTGCGAGGAGAAAGACTGCTGGCAGGCGGAGCGACGGCCGCGCGGTGCCTCCTGGTTCACGTGCGTCGCCGCGCGGGCTTTATAAGTAGACGGGCGCGCGCTCCTGGCAGTCCCCTGTCGACCCTCCACAGATCACCAACTGCCCGTCTGCTTCCCGTGCATTCGCGAAAAATGTGGTTTACGTTGTTTTGGGCGGCGGCTGCCGTCGTTATTGCGTGAGTACTTCGGTGCATGGGTGCTTCCAGGGTTGGAGCTCAAGCCTTTGGGCTCCTCCTAGCTTTAAGTGATGTGTGCGGATGTTTGCGGAAAGTGAAACATCATTGTTCATGATCGTGTATTTTCTACGAAGGACTATTTGAATATTTTATAGTAACGTGAGAATGGATTTCACAAAGAGAAAATTGGTGTTGGCTGAAAAATTGAAGGAGAATAAAAGAGACGAGTATATCAACCGGCGATTTTACCAACATTTGAATAAAGGATTGTCGAAATTGTAGGGGGAATATTCTGGCCATCGTCTGTGAAAAAATATTAGATATGGTGTGAGAAATCACTTAAACAACCTGTTGGGACAGTGGGGAACAATTTAAAACGAAGGGTGGAATATTTTATCGTATTTGTGCCAAAACTGAATAACGTTCCTTTGATATTCGCGGAATCTATTCGAACTTGTATTTAATCGGTAAGACGCAACACACTCATTGAAGTTGTTCATGTGCTAGATATTTGTAATCTTGTTTCGTTTATTTTTACCCACAAAGTAACTTAAATATTAATCAGATCATTTTACTGAGTAGTGTAGTTCTCTGAAAGGGGTGGAATGTCTCTACCGGTACACACGTATACTATGGTATAATTTTTAGCAGCCTGACATATTTGCACCTGAATGGTCTCTTTTAGCGACAATTGTTCTACAATTTTCATTGACATTACTGATAAAATCACAGAAAATTACACTTCAAAACGTTCACAAAGTGCATTGTATAATGATTATGTCAACCAGATTCACAAAACAATCGAAAAGGGATAGCATTCTTTAGGATGACAAATTCTACCAACCATTGTAGTTGAATGTGTATATCAGTTAAGTACATATCAAACCAAGCAAGTGTACATAATAACTCGAAGATGACAAACTTACTAATAGAAATTGCTTCATTGTATCTGAAGCGACCAACTCTCTTTTTTAATTTCACATTCATTACAAATTATTTATCTCTATAACATTGTAGATGGTAAATGAAGGTCTTCATTGAAAATTAAAATTATATACGAAGTTTCTAAAATTTTGTAATATTTTATACTTGACAGTGAAAATCTTAAAACATTAAGTAAATTCTTTTTAGATGTCTTGATATCAACCCCAAAATGTTCCCAATAATATTACCCCAGAACGATTTCTTTCATTTCAAAGAGTTACGTTTCAAACTCAAGAGTGTACTGCAATGGTTCCAAATTATTAGAGACAATTTTTTTGTAACCATTGACTCAAGACAATTACTCTCACTTTACGAGTATTACAAGAATTATTCAAGCTATAATTATTAAAAAACAAATATTTCAACATTGCAAGGAGGAAATGCTAGGAAAATGTTCAAGGTTTAATGTATTGCAGCAAACCAGCATTTCACTGTCCAAACAGACTTCTGAAAGAAACGAGGTCGAATTCAAATTTTCAGTTGGAATTTTGAGGATAGAGGATTTTAATTTTCAGGACCAAAGTTATAGAATTATATTTTATATTTGTTATTGAATGTTCACTATTCACTAAAAATGTTACTCTTTTCTAGATTGTGAATTATCTGCATACGAATATGTGCAAGACTAGCGTCTTGTTCTTATTCTTTACATCGAATTCTTTAGATGGCGTACTTGATATCGAAATATTGATGCGACTGCGTTTAACACTTTTTTAGTAGGGTTCGTTGTCAGTTTATCAACTAAACACACATATTTATGTTGTATTTTAAAATTGTTAAACTCTCGTCCCATTTTCCAATAATTTATAAGAGAGAGAAAATAATTTATTTTTGAAGAATGTAAGTACATACATGTAACACTAAAATATTAATTATGTTATCAAATTTCAAACGTGCGCCATATTTTTGAATGCTCATAATATTTTTGAGACAATTTGTGTAAATTGCAAATTGTATTGGTCATAAGAATTATTGCCTTTTATTAATTATCTTTCTATGTTCGGTGCCACAAGTTATGATAAATTACACTTGCACATGATTCTAATCTGCTGCTGAATGTTTATTTCTGGTTTAGTAAATAACTTGAGTGTTTTGGTGTAATAACAAATTAATAGATAGGACTACGAAAAATATATAAAGTGACAGTTTAATGATGGATATTAAGTTATGAACACAATAATACACAGAAGTACGACACGAGCCGTACACTTTAAGCAAGTGTATTGATGATGATGATGATGAGGAGGAGGAGGAGGAGGAGGAGGATATAAGCCCATTGAATCGCATAAAGGGCTGGGTCCTTCTGTCAGAACACAGGGGTCCTGTCACAACACACTAATAGAAGTTTAATCTAGTTACCTAACCTGAAACTGATATTTGAAAACAAAAGAAAACGTGTTCCATCTCTCTCGCGTTCACAGGTCGTCTCCACACTGCAATTCTAATGTGCACCATCGCACGAAACATTTATTAGACCGATGGCCAATTATTATTAATTTCAATCCTTGTTGCAAGCTATGGTGTGATTGCACTAGAACTTGCAATAAAATGAAGATCCCTATAGCAGTTCACATATAATGACAGTACGTCCTACAAAATGAAGCCCCGCATAGTATGTTTTGACGTTAAATACATTTTTTTTAAAACTGTATAATTCTGAATGTCATTATAAAACATGCTGCAGTAGCGGGCATGTTGTGAATTCCCAGAGGCACTTTAGGGCTTGTGGTGGAATAACCGTATTTTTTAAAAACATGTTTATGATTGGGTTTTCTGTAAAAGAACTTTGAAGGTAATTCACTAAACTTACACCTCTGTCAGGCTCGGTGTAGGGGAAGAGATAGGAATATGAGATATCCTTTTTGTTGTGCGACCTACAAGGTACCAGAATAACCGTGACTAAAAAAGTTAATTGCGTTTTCGTACTATCTTCAACATAAAATATGCTGTTTTAACCTAAACATTCTGGAACTAAGAGGTTTTATGTAATATTTATTTTTTCTAATTAGTGTCACAACCAAAGAATTGGTAACTAGGGTAGTAATATGAGACTACTGTTTTATAAAGAAAAAAAATCAACACAGTTGTGTCAAAGTTGACAGAGTTGTGACAAAACGGCTTTATTGACGTACACTATGTACAATAAGTAGTTTAAAATCGCTTGGTTTTACAATAATTACAAATGTAGATTGTTTTCTCTGGTCCGGCACAATCACTGGGTCACATTCTGCACAAGATACAACAAATCCCAATTCAAACATACAAACTTTAAAAAATGTACAGAAATTAAAACAGACTGGTAGTAATACGAGACAGTCTCAAAATGCTATCAATCGTCTCATATTAAAACCACGACGCCATCTTAGGTTTTGCCATAACATCGTACCGAACATTGTATTTTATTTCAAATCCTCAGTGATATTAAACAGCTGCAATATTTGAATGCCAACTTACCTCCTACATTTGTTGGAAAATCACAAGATGCGCTGAAGTAAATTGCACTTCACAGCAAAGCTACAACACTTTTCACAGCATTACTAAGTGCAAATGTTCATCTCGGGAAACTTCGAAGACTGAAGTGGCCGGGCGTTGAGGGAATGCAATGATGAAGCCAGACTATGCAATTCTCCTGGCACAAATGGCAACACTATACAGAGGCGAATACCTTGCTATCTCATATTTCTACCTTATCTCGCATTTCTATTCTTCCTCTACAAGTAAATACAGCACGAATATTGGTAATTAGATAATATTCTCTCTCTCTCTCTCTCTCTCTCTCTCTCTCTCTCTCTCTCTCTCTCTCTCTCTCTCTAGCATTTTTATTGTAATAATGTTTATTGTGGTCGGGTGGATTTGTCGTATGAATTCTGTATATTATTTAATTGAGGTTAAATTTATGTTAAAATTCTTTTAAGTTGTTTTTTTAAATAAGTAATAGATTGTAATATCACGTTATGAATATCAGAAGTAAAGGTTTAGACATTCTGATGAAGGTCTTCGTTGGTTTTAATCTTTTGGATTATGTAATTTTAAAATCCATTAGTTAACTGACATTTTTCTATTTTGTATGATCTTTACATTTTCCGGATTGCAATTGCGGTGTGATAATTAGAGTATGGATTGTTTCCATTAACGATTATTGGGTTATTATCAGAATCTAGCTCTGACAAGACTGTCAGTATTATTTTTTTTATTATCATAGACCACCAGATTTCACCCTTGACAAGACTGTCTGTATGACATATTGAGTAATATTTTTATTATCATATCTGATATATCCAATACTATATTCCTACTGTATGAGAAATTTGTTGTTAAAGGGGGACTATAATTTGTAATCTTTTAGAAATGACTAAAGAGTGAAATTTAATTTCTTGTTGCGTTGTAGTGTTGCAATTTGAAGCTCACGTGTTAAGGTTAGCATTAAGATATTAACGTTAAATATTTTTTCATACTGAACTTATAGAAACTTTCTATAAGGCGAAATTAAAGCTGCAGGTAATAAAGTTGATTTTATATAATTATATTTAAGATTATTTTATATAAAGCTGTTATTTGATGTCAAATTCCATTGAATACCAATTTAACCTGTCCACCGGGTGCCTTCGCAGTTATTCTGTTGTTTGTATGAGTTTAAAAGCAGTTAATTTGAAATACATCGTTGGCAGTTAGATGTGTCTCCGTAACACTTGCCACTTTTCCAGTTTATACATTTTATTTGCCATTCATTAATTTAAAACAAATTATTAAATTATTTTTGAATTTGAGGTATAATGGTTGCAATACCTTGGGAGATTATTGCTAATATTAAGGGTATGCCCGGTTGCGCTGATGTCTGTGAAAGGTTAACACATTGTATGAATTTTGACGACGATGAAGTTTATCTACACCAAGAAGGGAAAAACAATTATGTTTATTGTGTAAAATGTGAGTAATTTTATTTACATTCCGCTTCGCTCCTCCTCGCCAACCTTGCTCAGTCCCTTTCTGCTCCGCCCCGCCTTCTTCACCCCTAC